AATTCGTGTTTGATTGGTCAGTCATTTGTCCAGAATGGTATAGGGCCGGGATGGCAAACCTATGGCACGCATGCCACAGGTGGCACGTGGAGCCATTTGTCAGGGCAAGTGAGGCGTTGCCCTGTTAGCTGGCCAGCGCGCATGCGTGTGCTGGCCAGCTGAGTTCAGCCTTTTTTAAAGCCATTTTTTGCCCTCCCCAGGCTCCAGAGGCTTTAAAGGAGCCTGGGGAGGGCGAAAACAGCCCCCCCCGCCCCCCGAGAAGCCTTCTGGAGGTTTCAGGAGCTTCCCTGAAGCCTCAGGAGTACAGAAAAAACGGCCCTACGAGCAAACCGGAAGTTCAGGAACAGACTTCTGGTTTGCTTGTAGGGATGTTTTTAGTCCTCCAGAGCCTTCAGGGAAGGGCCTCTGGGGGGTCTCTGGGGGGATAGGGGAAGCTGTTTTTGCCCTCCTCAGGCTCCAATAAAGCCTCTGGAGCCTGGGGAGGGTGAAAAAAGTATGCAAAAAATGTGGGGAGCACCTGTTATATGCGCATGAGTACTGGGGGGGTGTCGCACATTGCATTATGGGTGCGGCATGCCCATGCATGACCCCCCCTGCACTCCCCCTTATGGCACAAGAGCCAAAAAAGATTCACCATCACTGTTCTAGGTATTTCCTCTTCTGTAACCAAGACCAATAAGTTTATTCTTCTAAGAGTTCTCAAATAGACGGATATATCCAGCCTTTTGCATCCTTACAGGATATGAGTTTAAAACAAAGGCAATTACCGTAAAACGACTCATTATATTATTCAGGTGACACTTAAATGCTTTCTTTTTTGTTATTAATATTTCTAAACTGAATAAAACACATTGAGCATTTGTTCTAACAAATATGATAAAAACTACTTGCATCATGCAGGTATAAAAGCTTAAATAACTTCTGTCTGTGCTTCATTTCACACTGTCTCTTCCTGACTCTGGGTAATGAACAAAACTAGAGAAAACATAACAACAGACAGCCCAGGGCGAAATAAAAAAACCAACAAAACCAAACAGAGGCTGTTGAACAAATCATAAAACTTAACCCCAGGGATGGGATTCAGCCGATTCACTGGCAAACTGGATGCACAATGTTAATTTTGCATCCAGTTNTGCATGTTTGACATGTCTGTTTTAGAGTTGTTGAGGACACTTGGAGGCAGAGGTGGTATTCAGCAGGTTCTGACCAATTCTGGAGAACTGGTAGTGAAAATTTTGAGTAGTTCAGAGAACCGGTAAATATAACCTCTGACTGGCCCAGTCCCTATCTATTCTCTGCCTCCTGAATCCCAGCTGATCTGGAGGGAATGGGGATTTTGCAGTATCCTTCCTCAGCCACACTCACCAAGCCACACTCTCCAAGCCATGCCACACCCACCAAGCCACACCCACAGAACCAGTAGTAAAATTTTTTGAATCCCGCCACTGCTTGGAGGTTTGTGAGCCCAAACTCCAAGTGGTCTCAACAACTCTCTAAAAAGAATGGAAATGACCAGCTTCTGCTAGGAATATAAATCCTTCCATTCCCATCCTCCAGAACTGAAGAAGCTTTTTGGATGAGATGCAAAATGTCTTCAAAGAAAAACTTTGTCCAGCTACCTCTTGAAAAAGCATTTTTGGGACAATACTTGGGAGTGCTTCCTTCTGTCTGTATTGCAGGAAGGGAATACAGAGAACAAGCAAATGATAAAATCAACTCACCTTTGAGGAAACTCTAGTCCACTTTTTTAAAATTTAGAAAGAATAGTAAGAAGGGATGTGGTAAAGCTTTATTCAAAATGATGCAGAGTATGGAAAAAGTGGACAGATGTTTTTCCTCATGACAGTCACAGCGGGGGGATCCAAAGTAAGGACAAAAAATACTGATACCACTATGATATGGAAATATACTCTTAGGCAATTTTTTAAATAGAATTTTATTCATCTGGTGCACCCGTTGTATCTTTTACTGGATCAGGAAGAGAAGTCACGGATGCCTTGTTACCTTAGGGCTTCACTACTGCAACATGTTACACATAGGTCTACCCTTGAAAATCACTTGGAAGCTTCAACCGAATGTAGGGGCATTGGCAATAATGGGAATGAGTAGGAATGTCCATGTGGCACTTCTGCTCCCTGAGTTACACTGTTGTCAGTTTAGTTCCAACTGTCATTCAAGGTACTGATTGCGAGTCCTACATGGCATAAAACCAAATTATATGAGAAACTGCCCATCTCCTATGTTATCCAGGTGACTCCACTCTGATAGCTTTCCAGAAAGCCTTGAATATTTGAATGTTCTCCCAGGCCTTGGGATATGGTTATTGATGCCCCTTGTTCAATATGTTTGAGGGTATATAGGTGTCAATAAAAAAACACTATCTGTTCTTTTTTTTAAAACTCCCAATTCTTATTCCTTTGCACTTTATAATTTTATTATAATGTATATTCCAATTTTGTTTGGTTTTATTGTATATCTAGAGTCAGTTTGGAGCCAGGTAGTGCCTAAATTGAATAAATGAAATGAAATGATAAGACGGTCAGTTGCTATTAAACCATGATACTTATGTCACCACTAGATTCAGAAGCATTGTATCTCAAGAGTAGCAGTAGCTTAAAGATAAGAGGAGAGGGTTATTGCATCTCTATAGCCTATTTATGGCTTGTTATCCATTGATCTGTAGGTTTTGTCATGGTGGGAAACAAGATATTGGACTAATTTGCTATTTGGCTTGATCAAGATGGTTTCAAAATCAATGTTAAACAAATCAATGGAGTTTTTAAAATTAAAAAATACGGAGAATTGGGATTCCCAATGGGCATCTGAAATCTCCATCCTCTACTTCATAAAACAAATACAATCAAAAGTTAAAGGAGACATTTTTAATTATCTTCCCTGCAAATAAACACTTCTTATACTGTATATCCTTTTCAAAACAAGAGACAGGAGAGACCGTCTCCTGGTTGTTACAAAACGTCATAAGGGAACATAAGTCATAATTAAATGAAGTCTTTTGTCTACCCCGTTAGCCCTCCCCTCCCATTCACTCCAGTTGTTTCTCCTGAAATCTGGAAGAGTTTTTTTAAAGGATATTTTCTATCATCTTAAATGTTTTTTGTATAAAAAAAACTTATATATACAACTATGTATATAAGTATTATCCTATGCAGTTTTTGAGCCAAACTCAGAGAAGTGCCACCTTGATTGTCAAGTTCTTGGAGTTGGAACAGTTGTCTCTTGAACAGCTGCATTTGTGTAAGCCTGGAGGCAGGTGGCCCCACTAGTCACTTGCCACTCATCACCACGCTGAAGTTAGAAAGATCCATTCTTTTATGAAAAAAATGTTCCAAATGTATTTAAGAGTTTAGAATTACTTTGCTTCATTCACAATGCCTAAATATCTTCCATGCTGCTTCATTTTTTTAAAATGCCAAATGATAAGTACGATTTCTGTCCTCACTAATATTAACAAACCCTTCAGCTTCCTAACGTCAATGCTTTTCACATCCTCATTCATTTCACTCAGTTCTTCTGAATGTGAGGTTGTTGTGTTCAATTTTGCCATTTTAGGAGAAGAAATGCCAAGCTGAAGAAGCCTTTTAGCTCCTTTGCCATTCTGCTTTTCTTGTCTCGATGTGAGATGCTGCTATCAGAACCGTGAGGCAAAGAACGAAGCTGGCATTTGTGCGTAGGAAGGGAGGGTTATAACCAGCAGCTCAGCTCAGGAGCGATCCAGCACAGTAGGAATAATGGTGAGCTGAAAACCAAGATCAGAAGCTGTTACAAATTGACTTGACTTTGGCTCTGTCCCCACTCCTACATAGGCAAAAGTCTGACTAGAAGGGAAGTCATGGTGGAATCTAAAACCAGTAGAGATCTTTGCTTTTATCCTGAGGTTGCAAACCTGAAAACAGAGAGAAAAGAAAGAAAAAGAAAAAGAGAAGTTGGAAATTAAAAATAAGGACGAGAAAAGAAATGAAATAAAGACAGAAAGAGCCAAATACCCCCATATGCTTGCAAAAATAGAGTAAGTTATTTAAAGCACAAGAACTTATTTCTAGAAGAAGTGTTAAATGAAGAATAAAGGCATATGGATCAGTGGTGGGATTCAAATTTTTTTACTACTAGTTCTGTGGGTGTGGCTTGGTGGGCATGGCAGGGAAAGGATACTGTAAAATCTCTATTCCCTCCCCACTCCAAAAGGAAAGTTCCTGCAAAATCCCCATTTCCTTCCAATCAGCTGGGACTGGAGAGACAGAGAATATATGGAGGCGGGGCCAGTCAGAGGTGGTATTTACCGGTTCTCCGAACTACTCAAAATTTCCACTACCGGTTCTCCAGAACTGATCAGAACCTACTGAATACTGCCTCTGGTATGGATTAACTTCATGCGAGAATTTACAAAATCTAAGATGTTTGAAGGCACAACCACTGGGCAAGTTACTAAACATTATAGCCTATACTGTATTCAAACAGTTGTTTACAAATGACTCACTTCTTCATTTATTAAAAAAAATAGAAAAATGCCAAATCTCAGACTTTTTATATAACTTCTGGCATCAAAAATAGTTGCCATGGTGATCCTTGACCAAAGTAAATAGGAAAAAAATAAAATCAACTTGCAGTGTTATTGTGAAGTTGACAGTAATGGACAATAACATTTGGTAGAACAGTGTTTCTCAACTTGGCAACTTTAAGAAGTGGTGGACTTCAACTCTCAGAAATCCCCAGCCAGCAGAGTATTCTGGAAATTGAAGCCCACACATCTTAAATCTGCCAAGGTTGAGAAACACTGCAGTAGAGTTTCAGGACACTTACTGAAAGAAACAAAAAAAGACCTCACACTGTTGGTGTTCTGTTTCTCCTGTCTTCCTGGTAACATGATGCAATATGAGTCATGATGTCATCATGCTGAGTGTTTCCTTGTCCCCTCATGAAGAACCAATGATGTGGAGAGGGCTGAGGAAACACAACAGCTTTGTTCACACATTGTGTTAGACAAGCCGTGGTTTGTTTAATCAAGGATGATTGAAAAAACTGCTGTGCCTGGGTTCTTAACATTATGCTAAACCACAAAGCATGGTTAGCAAGTTACAGTGGCTGGAGTAACAAAACAGGTCACATTCTAGGTAATACCAGCCAAGTAAATTACATGAAAACTTAAAGCTGGGGTACAGAATATTTCTCAACTGAGGATCAAGATTTTTAAGGGCTGAAATGGTTCTTTAAGCTTGCAGAAGACTTAAGTTACCTAATTTGCACTTAGAGTCTCTGGTATACAAAGAAAAAAAAACCCATGATCACAATAAATTATTTTTCCTACCAGGTCTTACCTGTCTCCACATTCAGCCCTAAGCTCTGTGCCATCTCTCCCGCAGGACCAGCAAAAGGAGCTGGCGTTGTCCATGTTGATGTGGCAGGCTCATTCTTGCCTAGCTCACACTGAGGGCTTACTGGAGTGGGCACCGAGGCAGGAGTGAGGCGGTGGGGACGCACAGAAGCAGCAGGCACCAACAGCGAACCATAGCGAGGGTCAAAATGGGGGCTGTAGACCTCGTGCACTGTGGTGGGCCGAGGGTAAGCAGAACTCTGTGCACCGATGTATGGGTGGTGATGGTGATGATGGTGGTGGTGAGCTGGGTGCCAAGGTTCCGGGGGGCCCTGATGAAGGTGGCTGTGCAGTGAGCCTGGAGAATAAGGGTCCGCTGTAGCAAAGGGCAGTTCACTGTGGGCAGTAGCTGCCAGTGGGCTTCCCAAAGAGGCAGGCACAGAGGAAGGTTGGTAAGTGCTGTTCCAGAAGGAGGGTGGGAAACTACGCTGGCTCATGGGAAAAGATCCCTCTGTACAGAAAGATAAGGACAAAACAGGCAGCATTAGAAGGATAGGACGACAACTATTTCTATTCTTTGTCATTTACATACAACCAACCGTGTATCTTCTAGGTCTGGGGTGGCAAACCTATGGCACGCATGCCACAGGTGGCACGTGGAGCCATTTGTCAGGGCAAGTGAGGCGTTGCCCTGTTAGCTGGCCAGCGCGCATGCGTGTGCTGGCCAGCTGAGTTCAGCCTTTTTTAAAGCCATTTTTNGTAGTCACTCTGTTCTCAATAAAGGTTGCTGTTTGCATACCCGCTTGTTGCGTCCTTTCCCTTCGCTCCAAGATGCAAAACTGATTACCATTCAACACCTACTCACTGGTCTGCTCTGTTCAAGCTTTCTAACCCTAGAACTAAACAAATTCCTTTGTGCAATACAACTCCACAGACTAGAGCTGATGTTCTATCAGTTTTGAATAAATGTATATTTTTATGTTGTTTTTACCCAATAGGTTATAATAGGCTTCCACCAGTCTCCTGTCACCATTTGCTTTTGCTTTTTAGAGTTTAATGGACAATTAAGGATTTAGAATATAGAAGATAAAATTGAAGGTATAGAATACAAAAGACGAATGATGGTGCCTGCATCTTCAATATTCAAAGGCTACTTCTTGAGATTATTGGTAGCTTTCATGTAGGTTTCCTTTTCTAACTTTTTCTTATGGCTATACCCTACAGCTGTGATAGTGAACCTATGGCATGCATGCCAGAGGTGGCACATAGAGCCCTCTCTGTGGACACATGCACCATCGCCAGCTGCTCTTCTTGCATGCGCACCAGCCATTTGGTCTTCATGCACACCAGAGTGCTGGAAATCTGAAGACCAGGTGGCTGGCACACACATGCACACCAACCAGCTGGTTTTGGGGTTTCCGGCACTCTGGCGTCCATGTGCACACATGCAAACAAACGTTCCAGTTTGGGCACGTGGTGCCGAAAAGGTTCACCATCACTGCCCTACAGGCATCAAAGTTTCTTTTATTGCCAATTAAATCTTCATTTCATCCGGATGTGCTGGTGATTGAACTTTGGAACCTTTTGCACAGAAAATGGGTATTCTGTCATTTGTTAAAGTTCCTATCCTGTGTCCAGTAAGCACACATCAAATTGATCAGTCTGCTTTTTAAAGAAAAAGAAAAGGATGGCTAAATTCACTTATACCCCTGATTAGATTAATCAGACATTTTCCTCACTCAGCATTAATAAACATTAATATTGGGGTTGTTAAATATGTTAAACAACACTAATGTGCCCTATAAGCAGCTTTGCATCTTAAATTGCAGAAGAGTTAATTGCCTGGAAGAAAGACACCCTTTGACTTGGGATGGACTAAAGCCAGAACATTGTTGAACTTAATTGAATCTGCAATGTATATAACTGTCGTCAGTTATTAAAATATACATAGGGCCCCTTTAATATAGAAATAGGAAGATTTCATCTTCCTATGCCTTTCTACTCCCCCAATCTTGACTTTAAGAGCTGAAATATTTATTTCAAAAATGGAGGTCAAAAGATCATTTGCTTGTTTCTTCTTCTCAGCAAGTTTTAGTAGAGTTGCTAGTGCAACCCAACACTCTTTCTGTTATTGATAAAGCCTAATTTGCATGTCTGGAGACTGTCTTTCATGTCTTCCAGGAATGTAACTTGGTCCAGATATGGATTGAAAAACTACCTCACTTTTTCCCCTTCCCTCCTGTGTTTTTCTGGCTTATCACTATTTTGCCTGGTGAAGAGCCCTTGGAAACTCAGAAACAATTTATTTATAAATCTTATATTGCTTTAATAAATATAACATTTCAGTCAATTTTCTTCTTCCAATAATATGTCCATTCTTCTTTT